ACTTTTCTTCTGTCATAACCAGAAGCCTAGCTGCTTCCAACAACCCAAGAACTGTATTCACCATAACCCCCTTCTCAAACGTGTATTTAGTACAGCTTTACTCATCTGTTGGAGGGAAACCCCCAGCCGTGCTACTATAGTCTCAGACTCACACAGCACGTTAAAAGGAATAATAATAATAATAATAATAATAATAGAGATCAGCTCGGTACACGTAGCTACCGCAAGGCTTGCCAGCCTCCAAATACCTCGCATATCGAGGGGATCGTGGTTGCCATACCAAAGGCTTGTTGTCGCTAATATCTGGCCAGGATTATTTCGTTAAGGTGGAAGATATTCCTAGTGATTCATTTTCTACAGCGTTGTCTAGACTACTAAAACTTCTGGAAGGCGTTTGAGTTGATTTCGTGAAGTTGCATCCCGGCGAGCGAGGTAGCTGTAGAAACGCGATGAGAGCCAACCATTTCCAACCAACGAGATTATTACTAGCAAGTTTTCTCTCTTTCCCTCACTTCGCCATGATACCACTTTCCCAGAACTGATTTCCGGAAAGAAGACTGAAAGTCCCTTTCACCGCTCTTTCAATAACCCGACCTCTTAAGCCTAGCCACCATCGAGACCTTCAAAGCAATACACCAGCATCGCAAAAACATGCAAAAAACCAAAATCCTCAACCTCCCAAATTAACAACACACCTCGGAACAATCTCACAAACTTTCCCCCTCCAGAAGCGAGCGAGCGAGCCAAAGTCAAAAAAGGGCACATACCAGCCTCTATGACAAGGAACCGTGTTTTCATAGTCAGGGGTAGCCCGCTCGGTTATCGCTCGACTGCCACGGCAACCGAGAATTAATCTGGGTGACAAATCGTACAATCCCAGGAATGTGGCTCTCCAACATACAAAAAAATTGGAAATTTAGGCTTTGGGACTCTGGGCGTGGCTAGCTTAAATCGGTAGAAAATTGGGATTGGAGACTGGGAGGTGGTGTTGGGGATTTGCATATCTATTCCAGCAAAGACGAAAAAGATGAAAAAGATGGTTGGTATGCCGACCCAACCGCCGGATATAGAGGGCTCTTAAAGCTCTGGATTCCCATCAAAAGACATTTTGTTTTCTACATCACATCCAAGAAATACCCGTGAACAGAACTGCTCCAAATCAAACAATCCGCATTAAAATGCGTTACTTTACAATCGTTACCCTCGTCTTTGTAGCGAGTCAACAAGCGCTCGCTTATGATTACCGTCGGGAGCTGCCAGATCCAGTGCCATACGAGGCTCCAACACCATGTACCACGACTGATTGGCCTCATTCAGAACCAACGCCCTATGTTCCTCCGTATGAGGGACCGGATCCCTATGTGAAACCGTTGCCCTATGAGGAACCGACGCCACATGAGCCACTAAAGCCTCATAAGGGATTACCAGTGGCTCATGAAAAGCTGACGCCTTATACGACAATTTCATATGAGGCGCCAGAACCGCAGCAGGAACCGACACCTCCTGAACCTGTACCATACACACCACCTCCACCCCCAACACCCGAACCCCATGAAGAGCAGCCACCACACGAAGAACCAACACCCCACCCACCACCCCCCTACACCCCCC